AATGTTCTAATCTTCATTTTTCCAGTCATACTTCAAGATTAACTTTTATATATATATTAGCAGGCAAATGAACCACTATTTTTATCTATATCTTCAGATGTTTGATTTTATACTATGAAAGGAGTGAATCCAAACAATGAATGCTCATCAAGAAGCCATGATGAACAAGCAGACAGAAAATCAATAAGGATATGAAAAACTTGAACAGCTCCATAACTGACTTGGCCTAATTGGCATTTATAGAACACTCCAGCCAATACCAGTTAGAATACATAGCTCTTTTGAAGTGCATACTACCATACCAATTTCTGGGCCATAAAACAAACCTTGATAAATCTTAAGATTCAATTCATACAGTGAATTGCTGACCACAAAACGAATAATAGAAACTTCTCTGAAAAATATTCAATTTGGAAATTAGATAATACACTAAGAATAACCCATGGGGCAAAGGAAAACATTAAATAGGAAATTACAAAGTATCTTGAATGAATTAAAATGAAAACTCAAAATATTAAACTTCTGAAGATTCCCTAGGCAGTGAATTTAGGATAGAATGAATCCCAGCACTAGAATAGAAAAAATAAATCTCACATTAATGACCTCAGCTTATACCTTAAGAAACCAGAAAAAATAAAAAAAGGAGAGAAGAACAAGTTAAAATCAAAGTATATAGAAAAAGGAAATAATTATTAGAGGGGAAAATCTATGAAATGGAAAACAAGAGAGGAAAAATCAATGACACAAAAACATGTTCTTTGAGAAGATCAATAATATTTATAAATTTCTAGCTAGATAAATCAGGAAGAAATGGTATAAGACACAAACTACAAATAGAATGAAAGAGGTTACATCATTAAAGATTGTATGGCTACTAAAGGGATAACAAGGGAATATACTATGTACAGATTTATGTCAATAAACTGAACAACTGAAATTAAATGCGTCAAGTCCCTAAAATAAGAATAAATTAGTTAAGAATAAATTAAGGGCTGGGAATATAGCTCAGTGGTAGAGAACTTGCCCAGCACATGCAAGGCCCTGCATCAATTTCCAGTACACCTAATAAAATAATAATAATAATAATAATAATAACAACAACAACAACAAGAATCTGAAAGACCTACTATACATTAATGAAATTAAACTATTAGTTAAATGGCTTTCATGAATGAAATTCCTGGTCTACATTGATGTACTGTTAAATTCTACCAAACACTTTTAAAGAGATACAAGAATTATTTCTAGAAAACTGAAAAATAGATGAGTTCCTATTGTATGATGTTAGCATTACAGCAATAAAAAAGTGAAATATATCATGAGAAGGAAAACTACACACCAATATTCCTCATGAACAAAAATGAACAAAAATCTAAATATGTTTTAGCAAATGGATTCTAACAATTTATAAAAAGAATAATACTTTATAGCTAAATGCTATTTGTCTCAGCAACACATGGATTGGCTAATATTCAAAAATCAATCAGTATAATTCACCATGTTAACAAACTAAAACAAAAACAAATACACACACACACATACACATCCACATAACCTTCTTGATAGATATAGAAATCATTCTGGTTAAATTAACATCCATTTCTGATTAGGATGCTTAACAATGTAGGAATAGATATTTTCAACATTATAAAAGAAATTTATAGAAGTTTAGTGACATTCATACCTGTTAAAGTACAGGATATATGCTCTAATAACTTTAACATTGTACTAGATGAATACAAAAAATGAATTATTCCCATGTAGTGCAGCAAAAAATCATCAGAAATGGGAATTTAAAAATAATGCTACATGCAATAGGCTAAAACTGTGAAATACTTAGGGACAAATCTAATGTATACATATGTATATATAAAATCAGTAAGTAATATATATGTAAATAATCACTAAAAACTACATTGCTGAAAGAAAATAGAGGATCTAAATGAATGGAGTAATGGATTTTCTATTCATGAGTAAATCAGTATTATTAAGATGTCAGTTCTGCCAGGCATGGTGGCATATGCCTATAATCCCAATGGCAGTAGGATCACTAGCTCAAAGCCTGCCTCATCAACTTAGCAAGACCCTATACAACTTAGTGAAATCCTGTCTCAAAATAGAAAGAAGTGAGGATGCGACTTAATGGTTAAGTGCTTCTGGGTTCAATTCCTGGTACAACAAAAAGGAAAAAATAAAGATGTCATTTCCACCAAATTATTTTATAAATACAATTCAGTTCCTGCAATTTCAGTGTAATTTCTACAGAAACTGATAGATTTATTCCACGTGAAAATGCTGTAGACCAAACATAACTTAACAACGTTAGAAGAAAGATAATAAGAAAAAAAGAACACTAACATTACCTTATTTCACAATTCATTATAAAACTACAATAATCAAGACTGTGTGATATTGTAGCCCCAGATAAACAAATATATCAATAGAACAGAATAGTCCAGAAATAAACCCACATACCTATAATTCATTGATTCTCAACAAGTATACAAAGGCAATTTGGTAAGAAAAGAATATATTTCAAGGGTTAAATTTCTCTCTCAGCATACAAATATTAATTCAACATTTATCCTAGATCTAAAAGTAAACCTTGTACAATAAAACTTAGAGGAGAAGAAAAAAAGAAAAATTTTCATGGCTTTGAATTATACAATGATGATTTAGAATACCAATTAAAGAAATATGATATAGGGTTTCATGAAAACTAAAACCTTTTACTTCTAGAAAGATATTGTTATAAAAATAAAGGAAGATTACAAATTGAGAAAAAAATTTGCAAATCATAAAGCTACAGATAAAGGACATGTACTCAGAATATATAAAGAATAGTTAAAACTCAATACAAAATAACTAAATTCTTTTTAAATGGTAAAGGATTCAAAACTGATGTTTTATTATACACAAATAAAAAAGTTTAATAGCTTTTCTCATTATAAATATGTAATTCTGACCACAATGAGATAACACTAGATCATCTAAAATTGAAAGACTCAATTATACCCAGTGGCTATAGGTGAGGATATGGAGAAACTGGACTGTGATTCACTTTTAGTTAGAATATGTGATAGTAACTTTTTAAAACTACCTTGGAAAACAGTTCAGCAGTGTCTTCAAAAATTAAACATATCCATCAGGTGATCTGGATGTCTCACTTGTAAGTATTTATCAACAGCAAATAAAAGCAAAGGCACATATAAGCACTTATACATGTTCACAGAAGTAACATGTGCAATAGCCAAAAACCGGAACAACTCAAATGTCTAAGTGAATAATAAACAAAATGTTTTATACCTATATATTCTACAACATGCATGTATCTTGAAATAATCATGCTTAGTGAAAATAGGAAAATAAAAAAGAATAAACATTTTATGACTTCATTTATATAAAGTTTGAGAAAATGACAACCAATTATAGTAAAAAAGATTAAAGGAGGAGAGACAGGAGGAAGGATTAAAAAAGGGCATGAGAAAAACATTTCATAGTGGTGGACATGTGTCTAACTTGATTGTGGAGATATTTTCTCCGTGTAAACATGTCCAAAAATAGCATATTGTACCTTTTAAACATATACAGGCTATTTTATTTAAATTAGACTCTGACATACATGTTTAGAAAAATAAATTTTTTTATTAAGAAGTCTTAATTGAAAACGGGTGAGTGGGCACAGTAGCTCACACTTGTAATCCCAGCAGCTGGGGAGGCTGAAGCAGGAAGAACACAAGTTCAAAGCCAGCCTCAGTAACAGCGAGGTGCTAAGCAACTCAGTGAGACCCTGTCTCTAAATGAAATATAAAAAAGGGCTTGAGGTGTGGCTCAGTGTTTGAATGCCCCTGAGTTCAATCCCTCGTACTCAAAAAAGAAAATGGGTGAATTCTAAAATCACTTGGTAACATACACTAAGAACTATATTTCCAGTGGTATTAACCTAAGATTATTCTCATATATACATTTTTTATACAATGTGAAAAATACCCTCTTTGAGCTAATGCAATGATCCATGACTTAAAAGGATATATTCTAACAATACAATTTGTATATTATAACCTATATCACTAATGAATAATCATTGAGACAGTCATTATTAGAGTACAAAATCAAATATCCAAATTACCATACTAAGGACTTTTGTAAATTATTGTTCTACCTCTAGTTATCAAATGCAAATATATTTTATACAAAAAAATAATAGTAATGTTTTTCAAAAACCTTAAAACATTATTGAATCAATAAAAGAACATTGCAAATTCCAATAGATGTAGTCTACACTAAAGATGACAGCAGATTTTAGCTGTATTTTAACTACTAAGTAGCTAGTAAGAGATGCACATCCTCATCTTAAAATTAGAATAACAGGGATAGACATATGAGGGCAAATCCTAATCAAAGCAATAGTGGTAAAAAATATAGAGTGCCTTAATTTTACATCTAGTTAATGGTCCAAATTTCATTTTAGGCATTCTAAGTCTAGTCTTCAAAAGTTAATTTATTACACAATATTATTCAGGAATCAAGCTTAATTCCCAAAATATCCCTTAAGTAATTTGTATGAAATGCACGAGTCATGGCACTGCCTATATCCATTTGCATCACTCAATCAAAATAAATAAGTATTTAAGGGGCATTGATGAACGGCACGTTGTCACTAGACAGGTCAATTCTCTTATTAATAATAATAAAAACTGACATTCACATAACACCATTTGCACAGCAATTTTCATACTCAGTCTCCAAATATTTAGGCATTAATACTACCAATATTTCTGTGCATTATTTGGCAAACATTCTTCTCCATTTTCCTAATTTTTCAAGGAAAGCCCTAACTCATAAAATGACACGAACCTAGTGACTCTGTGTTTACTAAATCACAATCCATTTCTTTCTGCAAGGAAGAAGAAAAAATATATAATACATCTAGCATGAAATAGTTTGGCTACCCAACTAATGAAATATCCAATTGGCACCTGGGTCTTATCTATTCCCACCTTTTTATATGCGATCCAGTCAAACACCCTGTCAATATCTGTTGCCCGTAGCACTTCCTGGGATACAGGATGGGAACTGGCCAAACCATCAAGCAGCATCACTTCATGCAGAACATCTGTCAGAAACCTCTGTTTTTCCTGCAATACAGTAGATGGAACAATATCATAGGTGATTCATGTTTATGACAGATTGCGAGACAACATGGACAGAGTGTGTCATTTAATTGATGATGCTCATCAGTCTTACATGGTAAGACTCAAATCTAAAAGGAACTCAGTAAATAAAACACTGCCCTTAAGGTACTTTAAAACAAAGGTGGATGATTTGAGCATAACATGAAATAAAATCAATGGACTACGATATGCCCTTAAGAGATAGAAACAGTGGACTGGGAATTTATCAGTGGTTAAAGCAAATTTGGAAAGTGCACACATATGAAAATGATATGATACAGGCTTTTTGTGCATTCTACTGGGTCAAGATTATAATTCCAGCCATAAATAACCTTCTTAGGTAAGTTCAATATAAAAACACATTTTGCCATTTAGATCATTTATTTCTAGTCCCATCAGAATAAACAGCTCATTCTCTACCTACTACTCACTCCCACTACACACATTGGTCTCTGAAAGAAATTCAGGAGACCACATGATAAAAGGCACTATTGACATCAAACTATAATACCTGTTAATGTATATCTGAATTCAGAATAATGGACATAAAGTGGAAATCAATAAGTATCAATAATCCATTATGATGAAGTAGTGAAAACAGACAAAATCGTAAGACTTCTATTCTCTGCAACTTGACCTATTAGTATTTGCTCTAATAAAATCAGATTTTTAAGTGAGAAATAAACTGTAAAGAGAAGATACCTCTTTGTTGTTTTGTTTTAAGAAAGTTGGCTTTAAAGAAACACCTTGAGTTTTGTTAATAAATATGCTGGCTCCATTAGTCTTCCTGGCCTCCTGCCTTCATTGATGGAGGAGGGAAAGAAAAAAGAAGTTGCAGGAGATAATAAGGGCTAAATAGCCCCTAGCTAGTTGGGACCTGAGGAGTATCATTACAGAGATTAAAGACTCCAGTGCTTAAATTGCTGGACCTAATTCTGAACTGATTCCTGAAGCCTCCTAGTTTTGAGATAGCAGATAAACAGCATGTTATTTAGGAGTGAGTTGTTATTTCAAGCTGAGAGTACACCAATCCTGAACTTAAAGAAATGGAAGCAGAGAATGAATAGGTTAAGGAAAGAACAGTTAGTCTGGCTCAAAAGAAACATTTTTTGTTCATCTTTACTTGCTCAATGATTTAGTATTTTTAAGTAATAATTTAATTAATTAGCCAACTCTCTTTTGAAAGGCTTATTTTCTAGTAGCTCAGATTTTTAATTTTCTATTGCCCATATATCTAATTTTTTCAGCCTTCTTTTGTTCTAAGAATTTCTCAGCAATAGTCTATGCTCCATCAAAGAGTTTACAATGATAGAACCAAACCATATTCTGAGACCCAGAGGGCTGCTCCAGACCCCAGGAGGCCACAGTGACAAGGTCAAGCTTAGCCTGAGTTAAGTGACAAACATGACACGGCATGTATGGATTTCTTCTTGAATTATTTCCTCACTCAAGACAAATTAAGGAAAGAAGAATTGGACCCAATGATTTAAATTTTTTAAATTACTATGATTGATGTATACAATGTTTATTTTAAGTCCGCTAAAAAGCAACATTAAGATCTTATACAAACAGCCTGGACTTAGCCAATAAGGGCAAAGCATGTAACAATTCCAAAATGAAAATTTAAATGTTATTTTTAAGTGGTTGTCCAATCCAGTTACTCATTCAATTTTAAAATACACCTTAAAACTATCTCTTATTAGAATTAGAGGGAAAATCATGAAATGGGTAATGATACTTCAACTTGACCAATGAATACTTTGGTTTCTAAAGTACCAATTAAAGGTGTGATTCCATTCTAAAGTTAAAATAATATTCAACTCTTTAAAGAGTAATTGCCTGATTCATGTCACTCAAATTTCTAATCTAAAACCAAATGCAAAATGATGCTTTATTGGAATCTTAATTTTTAATATTTAGCAACAATAAATACATGTTGACCAATATTAAAACTTAATAAGTATATCTTTGATTTGCTATGGATATGAGTTTTAAGTGGTATAAAATAAATGGCTATATGATCTTAAAGATGAAATCTAAACTAAATTTCAAAGAGAAAACTTGTTAAAGGAGATACAAATTATTTATAAAATATTGTTTCATGCTTCTTTCTGGGTAAAACAAACCTTTGCCTAGCTAATAAAATTTCTTTTTTTTTTTTCATTTTCGTTGTGCTGTCTACGATCTTTAGTTAATAGAATTTCAATAAATAGATTTTAACTTTAGTAGGGTTAAGTCATTAGTAAAACATCCATCTTCTACCTTGCTGGGGAGAAATGGTAGTGCATAATAGAGAAATGCTAACATGCATAAAGAGTTTGGCGGGGCAGAGGGACTGGAAGCACTCACAAAGCACAGAAGACAGAATACTTAAATTGAGAAGGAAAAAAAGAAAATTCTAGCCAGAGGCAAGCCCAATTTAACAGAACTACAAAGAGCTTCCAGGAGTGAAGGTACTAATTTTTTTATAAAAACCTGCTTCCCTATAAAATAAGAGATGATCTTAGCTTGTCAGTCCTGGGCTACAAACCTCATCATCATCAAAATCAAGCAGTGCAAAAACTACCAAGTATTGATTAATTACCTACTGTTTATCAGGAACTTTAAGAGTCTAAAAATGAAGGAAAAGAAATCCTAGCTCCAATGTTAGAGAAGAGATAAAACAAAACAGTTGGCCACAGAGAGTGAAATAATAGTTTTCTCACACGGACTAGAAGTGCTAAAGGGATTTTCAGAAACACAATACTCTAAATAGAATTACTTATGGACAGTTTATTGGAAGAGGTAGAATTTGATCTGACCCTTGAAGGAACTTTGAAGTTTAGTGTGTGGTATGGTGTGCGTGCGTGCGTGTGTGTGTGTGTGTGTGTGTATTTTCACTTTTTATTAGTTCCTTTTAATTATACATAATATTAAGGTTCTTTTCAACAGAATTAGACAAGCATAGAATAGAATTTGCTCTAATTCAGTCCTCAGTACTTCCTTTTTCTCTTCTATTCTCCCTCCCCCATTCCCCTTCCTCTAATCTACTGATCTTTCTGCTATTTATTTATAGTGTGTTTTTTTTTAATTAGTGCCTTGTGGATATACATGAAAGTGGGATTCACTGTGGTATATTCATATATGTGAATAGGAAAGTTTGGTGAGATTCATTTCACCATTCTTCTCTTTTCTTATCATTACTCCCTCCCCCTCAATCCCCATCCTCCTGTACTGACCTCTCTTCTATTTCATGGAATCCCACCCCCTATCACCTTTACTTTTTTTTTTTTCCTTCCTTTTTGGTCTAGCTTCCACATATCAAAGAAAATATTTAACCTTTGACTTTTGGGGACTGGCTTATTTCACTTAGCCTGATGGTCTCAAGTTCTATCCATTTATTGGCAAACGCCATAATTTCATTCTTTATTGCTGAGTAAAACTCCATTGTGTGTGTATATCACATTTTCTTTTTCCATTCATCTATAGAGTAATACCTAGTTTGGTTCCATAGCTTGGCTACTTTGAATTGTGCTGCTATCAACACTGATGTGACTGCATCGCTATAGCATGCTGGTTTTAGATCTTCTGGGTATACATTGAGGAGTGGAATCACTGGGTCATATGATGGTTCCATTCCTCATTTTTTCAGGAATATCCATAGTGTTTTCCAGAGTGTTGGCACCAATTTGCAGTCCCACCAATAATGTATGAGTGCTCTTTTTCTCCCACAATCTTGCCAACATTTATTATTGCATTCTTGATATTGCCATCTGACTCTTAACTCCAAATTTTAAGGTCATCCTGATCAGTGATCTACCACTTTCAAAAATTAGCACAGTAAAACAAAATAAATAACCTTAAAATCTGTTTGAAAGAGATCCAGCTAGGCATGGTGGCACATGCCTGTAATACCAGCAACTCTGGAGGCTGAGACAAGAGGATCACAAGTTGCAGGCCAGGCTCAGAGAGACTTGTCTCAAAATTAAAATAATAAGAACAAAAGGGATTGTAGTTCAGTGGTAAAGTGCCCTGGATTCAATAACCAATATTAAGACCAGTAATAATAATTAATAATAATAATAATAACAACAACAACAAAATAAATAAAAGTAGTTCAATATTAACAGTAACCTACCACCTTAACATACACACAGGATAGTGTTGTTTCATATGTGTTTTCATTTACCCACTTACAATAATATCAAATGTATCAGTTTGTTTTCAATTTTTTTCAAAAAAAATACTCCATTTGCATTTTTGGAGAAATGCTTAAAGGCATTTTGGAAAAATAAAGAAAATGAGAGTAAATATGCAGAGTTGATAATGAATATCATAAAGCCATTATTTCATTTACTCATTTTATATATATAATATATATTATAATTATCATATTATAACATATAATATGATAGTAATATATTTATGGTGAACATTCAACAACTAGTATAAATATAAATATATATATATAATTCCTATTATATTCCAGATATGGTGCTACACTGGGGAATAAGTATATGACTACAACCTAGTTCGTAACCTTAAAGATCTCAAGAATAGAAGATAAAGACTGATAAATAGCAAACTGTATTAGAATATGATGGATGCTACAAAACACAGAGGAGGAAATGATTAATTAGTTCAGAAAGGCTTCACAGAGGAGGTGACATTAAAGTGAACTGTTGAAGGATGAGGGTTTACTCAGATGAATGGAGGAAGCACCTATAAAAGGGCACATCCAAGACAGAGGAAACATGCAAAAACAGCCACTCTGTTTGAATCCTCAATTATCAGGTTGAAGAGCTTGGTCTTAATAAATGGGCAGTAGCAAGCATAATGACATAATGAAAGTAGTATCTTAGGAAAATTGCCTTATCTGTGTTGTACAGGATGGCTTGATGTATGCAGAGCCAGGAGACAGGAAGTGACTATTGTACTGAGGGATTATGGTGTTGGTGTATTAAAATAAGGTGTTGCTGAATGAC